ATTATCAATCTTTTTTTTTTTAAGTTTTAATTTTTTTTAATTTTTAATATCGAAGAATCCAAAGTTGAAACAGATTAAGTTTGAAAGAGCAAAACTTGCTCGTTCTGCTCAGATCAAAGCCAACACTACTAAAAACAAGACTAGTATTACTAATACAAGCACAAGCACCAACACCAATGCCAGAAAAGCTATTGCAATAATTAATATTATCAATTTTGACCCTAGTTTAAGCGAATATAAAAGCGATAGTTTAAGCCTGACCAATTCTGACAATGATTATGACTTCCAGAAAGATAATTACTTTCAAGAAGACGATAGAGATAGGGCAAACTTGGTCATTGGTTGCCTTCTTGCTGCATTCACAGCAAATATTTAGAAAAAAAATGTCTAGCTACTTATATTAGAAATTCAAAATATATAAAGCAAAGAAAAAATAAAAATTTAAGAGAAGCAGCAGTAGGATTATTAAAAATATCACAATTTTTTTTCTATCTGCTCTTCGCATAATAATAAGGATGAAAATAATAGTGAGTATATGATTAATAATAAAGGAATTAGTAAGAGAGGATTTAGAAATATAGCTTCTTCAATATAGTTGGATGATACACAAAAACAGTTTAGCAATATTGTGTGTAAGATATTGGCTAGTTCTGAAGAAAAGCTTGACGAAGAAATTTCTGAAGCAATTAGATTTGTGACAAGGTAATTTGTGTAAAACAACTTTCAGATACTGAGAAAGCTCATTATATGGCAGTTTAATATTTTCTTCACCTGATATTAAATAGAAAAAAAAATTGAAGTATCAGAAGTAGTCGCCGAAGTTGTTAGTAGTAGATCATGGTTCACTAGGTGTATTAGAAAGTGAGCAAATATCTGTATAAAAAGTATGTTATTTATTATTTTATTTTATAATAGTTGAATAACCATTTTTGTGTAATTGCAAAAAAATTAATTCAGAGTTTTCGTGAGAAGTTTCTTTCCAAAAGCCTGCTCAATGATGAGCTGATTTCGCTCTAGGTTGCTGCATATTTGCATTTCCGGAAGTTCAAGATTAATCTAAAAATAGTCAAAAATTATATTGAGCAAGAGGTTCTTTTTTAATTAAATAAAGGATCTATACAACATATTTTTATTCGAACTATATGTTAGTAGATATATAAACTTGGCTTTCAGTACAAATGTTATCAAAAAGGTGTATATATTAATAGGTATAAATGACCAGATGTTGTTGCATATCATCAAATCTTTCTTTAAAAGGTTGCCAAATTTGATAAATTTATATCAAAATGGTACGATAAAAGCTGTAAAATCAGAACTTTTCTACTATTAATTGGCAATAAGAAAGAGCATGTTTGGGTAACTTATAATGTGTTTACCTTCTTTATTTATGATAGGATGTGTGCTATGTGGGGCCTGAAAGAAGAGCAACTATTAAGGAAAAAAGGGTTGGGTTTGGTGTCTATGTCAGTGATTTTTTAACAGAAACTATTAGACTATTGAAGGATGATGTTAAGAAGACACATATAATAATAGTGCTAGGCTTACATCATGATAAATTTGGAGATTTTAACAAATTACTTAATCAAGTTAAATGGGCAGTAAATATCTTCAAAAAAATGCACCCAGGGTGTATAGATAGGATTTAACAAAAAAAAATAAAAAAAAAAAAGAGAAATAAAAAAAAAATAAAAAAAAAATAAAGTCATGAAAAAAAGAGGGAAAAAAAAAGTATTTTGTTTTTTTTTTAAAAATGAAAACTTGATTGTAAAATTCGAGTTTTTTTTATTTAATTAAATATTTATTTATAGATGTATTTGTCTTTAACAATACTATGTCTTATACAGCCTTTGCAGAAGATGCACTTATAGCCTCAAGAACGAATCTTAGCCCAGGTGAATCTGTTCCAAAAATGCGAGATACTGTATGAAATGGACATTGACAATCAATGATCATTGAACAAAATTATTATGTATATAGCAATAAAACAAAATCTTATATAAATCTGCGTGGCCAACCAAAAGAAATCAAATAGGTTCTTAGAGAGAGAAAATTGTGGTGAGAAGGATTAGTGTTGGAATATGCTTCATATAAAAAAGATTTAAATCCTAGCATTATTAACTATTGTGCATGTCACCTGATGGCTAATCAATCTGATTTTCTTGCACAATGTAGTCAAATTCAGCAAAAAATTGAATCTTATAAGTATAAGGTAAATAATTATTGTTTTTTATTTATTTTTAGATTTTATTTTATTTTATTTTTTTATCTTTTAGGTCTTATTTACTTATTTGTTCTTAGATTATATTTTATCCCTAAATTTAACTACATTAAAATATACTAGGGAGCAGCAAAAAAAGTATATAAGAAATAACTATAAGTATTCTCTTCCAAAGCATAAGCAAATGATTCTTGAAGCTTTTGACTCTATTTTAGTAGAAAAGGTTTGTTCTTTTGCTAGGTTATCGTTTAGATAGATAGATGCATATAGGAATAGTTTGACAGGAAAAGCTGCTAAATATATGGTTAGGCAATACAGAAAATACCAGTCAATTAATAAAGAAATCATGAATCAAGTCAGGGCGATCTAGTTTTTTTTTTAAAAATAGTTTTTTTTTTTTAAAAAAAAAGGGTTTTTTTAAAAATAGTCTTTTTTTTTGCATAATTTTTTGGTCTTGTAATTATGATAGATCGATTTTAACAAAATATTTGCTAAATATTAATAAAATAGTAATAAAAAAAACTTTGTATAAGATCATATAAAAACCAATTTATTTTTATATTATGGGTAATTCTATAATTGTATTAGAGATTATTTATTAGCAGCTAAAACCACTTAAGAAGGCAAAACAATTGAATAGCCTTAGTATTATAAATTTTGCTGTAATATCTTTTTTATAATTCAAATTTAAGAATTCGATGATATGAATATATTTTTTTCAAAATGTCTTCACCAGTAATTTGAAATACCAGATATGAGATAAGCATGTTTTTTTTTAAGGTTAAAAAGTTTTCATCAGGTTATGTATATTATGTTTCTTGCATAATTTTTAATTTATAAACTCTACTAGTATAGCTAATGTCTATTCTTCAAGTAATATAAAATAATCTACTATTTAGATACTTTATCACAATATCATTACACCATTTTTGTAAATTTTGAAAATGATTTTTGAAGCCTGACTAATAAATACAGATAAAGTGCAAGTGAAGCTATTTAGATTTTATTTTAATCATATCCACATAATTTATTTTTCCTATTGGCTCAACAATAATCAACATGAGTACTACACCAATATTGATTATTGCTATACTGATTAAAAAGATAAATAATATATATACTGTATAGGTTGATCGTTTCATAGGCTTTTGTATCTTGACAATTAAGCAATTTGAATTTAATATTTTCAACTTAGGGTGCTCTTAAGCATCTAAATCAATAGGTCTAAGTTCAATTTTTAATTAGTGAAAAATAAATTATTCAGTTAAGCAAGTTCATTATTACAATAAAAAAAAAGATAATCAGAGACCATCTTTTTTATCATAGAGTTGTGCTAATTGGCTAAAAGTTAATATCCACATTTTACAATATGAATCTTTGACAAAATTATCATAAGGGTTACTTCAATTGATTGTAGTTCTTGTGCATGATTTCTATAGTTAGCTAATTATACTGAGAGATATACTTGAGAGCACCCTTAGTGTTTATTATCAAAGATCTTTTATTGTCTCTATTTAAAATTTGGTGACTCTATATAAATAAAATTTTTTAAACTGTTTTTAACTAATTTGGCACCATATATGGATGTTTTATACTGGCTTTACCAAATTTGATACAATATTTGGATATTTTATATTGACCTTAGCAAATTTGATGCAGTGGATATTTTATGCTGTCCTGTATTGTATAAATAAGTTTAATTTAAAAATGAAGCTAGAAATAAGCTGAATCTTTTTGTTTTAAGAAGCAATCAGAGCTTACTTAATAAAATTTTAAATTATTGTCTAAGAAAGCAAAATATATAAATTTAGTTATATCTCAGTAGTAAAGGCCTTTGGAAATATAAAACTAGACTGCTTATATATAAAATTTTGTCAGAAACAATTTTATTTAAGCAGCCAGAATAGGTTTACTTAATAAAATATTGAGAAAAGTGCAATTGTTTTTAGAGAAAACTTGGTACAAGTGATTGTCAGAGAGAGTTAGTAATTTGTATTCTGGTTATTATAATTTAATGAATAATATTAATACTAATCAAATAAAAATATTAATCTAAAGATTATCTTAATATTAAAAAAACAATTAATTTAGATTTATTTTTTTGCTTTAAAACTTGATTTTAATTTTTTTATAAATAACAAAATTGGTTTTGTATAATTTAAACAAATTATTTATTTTTTTGTATCAAACATTATATAGATCTTCAAGATCTATTTTTAAAAAAATTACTATTTAAATATTTAGCCTCTTGAGTTTTTTCTTTAAAAAAACTCTGCTTTTTCTATAGCTAATAATACTTAGTTATATATAGATCTATTTAGTTGTACCAAACATTTTATCAATGGTTTCTTTGTTTCTAAGTTAAAAAAAGGGTTGTTTTTTGATTTTTTAGCTAATTTATTATTTTATTTTTTTTTTAGATTTACTAATATTTTGTTCTGTTCTTTGTTAAATGCATTTTAATTTTTTTTTCATAAAATAGTTTCAGAATGTGATAAGATTATTCGCAACTTCACTCATTAAGTCATGCACTTTTACACTTTAACTAAAAAACTATAGTTTTGTGTTAATCTTATCAAAGAAGAATTTAATAAATTCAAATTTACAGCTATTTGGCCTGTCTTTATATGTAATAGTAATTTTTGAAACATGTCTTTTTAAATTTATTTCAATAAGGTTTAAATATTTTTATTAAAAATAATACTAATTACAGTAATATTAATAATAAAATATATATCTAAAAAAATTTAGCATAACACCATATCAATAAATATTTTAGCAAAATCAAATCGGTAATTTCTTATGTCCTCTGCTTTAGATGACCCCATCACTATTACTATTGCTATCTAGTGATTTCTATGGTTATTATAATGATTTTAATTCTTTTAAAGCCTCAATATAAATATATTAAATCAGATGATACTACCTTATAATGTTTATATTCTATTTTATCACTTCAACCTAAGCATCCGGAATAAAATCTTTTTTAATACCATCTATGTATATTTGTTTTTCAAAAAGATCTCGATCAATTCTTAATACTAATAAAATTAATATACCAATAGCAAATATACCAATAATAAATATACAGATAACAAAATTTGAAAAACATATGCAAATGCAACAATATATACTTACGTGAAAGTTTTTTATAATGATAAGCATATTGACAATAAATAGTACTAATGAATGAACATAATATTACGAGAAACGGAAGAAGAAAGAAGGTTGATAAACTTAATACTGCTGATGTTAAATATAGACTAGAACTAAGAAAGTCCAAAATTATAAGGATATATATTGCTCCTAAAATTAAATTAGCAAAGTAAAACCCCATTGCGCAAGAATTTGAACGAATCTATAATAAAGAACTAAAAATTATCAACAATATAACAGTAAGCAAATATATACATGCGATATAAATAAATACCACTTTAGTCATTGCATATGAAATGAATGGTGGAAGCCCAAAATACCATGGAAAATACAAAGGAGTCGTAAGATATTCGAAAGATGGATTTTTGAGATAATCACTTTGTGAATAAAAAATGAGAAACATCCGACCAAGGATGGGACTATGAATAACTTGTGCGTGAATAAGAATTTTTTGCCATTTGAATCTTGTAGCTAGTAGTGATTAATAACAAATAAATACACGATTTCCTATGAATCAAGAAATTGCGGATTAAATTCTTTTGGTCAAACCTTCGTTGTATTCAGAACGTTTGCAACATTTGCAATACCTGAAAATATAATTTGAGTAAGTTTTCCTGTGTTTAATAGTTTAATTACAATAATTACAATAATTTACTTACCTCATACAACTAATAAAAAAACTTGTAATAAACAGAACTGAGAGATTGATAATATAGATAATATTAATCCCGGTAATCGAATAAAATGTCACCATAAATATTAATGTATCCGAACACCGCACATTCTTAACCTACATGTAAATAAATAACCATTTAGAGCAAAATTTCGATTTTATATAATATTAAAAAGAAAACTTGCCGTTATCCACAAAGAAATGAAATAAACAACTGTAAAATGAATGAGAGAAACAGACATCATAACACTCTTACCAATGCCGGTATTGGTAATTACATAATAATAATTATGACTCAAAAAAAAAATAAAATAACAAAATGATACAATAAAGCAACAAGCTATGAAACGAAAAAGTGTTTTATACCACGGTTCAGCAGTTAGCTTATCACGCAAATTTTTGAGCTCAACACGCAATTCATCGCATAGTTGTTTGAACGTCTTACAATACTCTTTATTGTCTGTACTTTCTTTGCTACTCATAATTCAGTAATTACAGTGTAAGATTTATTACTTTTGATTAATATGACGAGCTTAGCAAAATAAATTGTTAATAGTAAATTTCTATATTAAACTTTATCGATCTGAAATGTATATTTTAGGAATAAATAACCTCGAAGATAGAAAATGCAAATGCAGTAAAAAGGTGTATTTATCATCTATGTGCTGAAGCAGTTTAAATATATATTTATGATGTAGAATAAAAAATTCAATATAATAATTTGAGTTTTCATTGATTTTTTATCCTATTACGCTTGTATTACGCTTGTAATTAGTGATTAAACCTAACCAAACAAGATATTTTTTTTAAAATGCGTACGTACTAAATAGTGCTGTAGATTTTTGATATTCAAACCATTATTCTCGCTCGGATTGCTTTATTAAACCTTATATATGGAATAACATTATGGGAGTAGTGCGCTCGCTGCAAGTCACGTGACGAAAGCATAGGGAGTATC